ATTTTTGATTCATTTCTTTTCATTATTTATGATAATTAACAAATATTTTCTTTATTTTTATATAGAAAATAAAGGCTGAAGAAGCAGATTGACGATTTTCATAAAAAAATCAAGAAATTAGAAAAATAAAATTCTGATCTTTTATCAAGAAATGAACAATTAGAAAATGAAAATCAATTTCTAGCTGAAATAAACAAAGAATTTGGCAAGGAAAATGACGAATTGCAAGAGAGGTAAATTCGTATACTACTAATATCCTAAAATTCTTAATAACTAATTTTTTCTTTTTTTAATATTTAAGACTTGACCAATTTAATAAATTACGGCTGTCAAAATCATTTAGGCAGCAAAAAGACGATTCTGATGACAGTCCTTCTGCAGAATGAAGAAAAATCGGCAAATCAAAATTGAAAGACAAGAAGCCTGTCACTGTACTAATGATGAATTAGAAGAAGAATTGGCAAATTGAAATTGAAAGGCAAGAAGCCTGTTCACTGTACTGATGACAAATTAGAAGAAGAATCAGTAAATCGAAATTAAAAGGCAAGCTCACTGTACTAATAATGAATTAGAAGAAGAATTGGCAAATACTAATTCTGAGGACAGTGATAATTCAGCAAACATAAAGGCTGATTTAAAAGGAGCCAGGATATGTTTGAATTTGTCTAAATATTTTAAATTTCTAAACTGATTTATTTTTCTGCTTTCATATTTAGGCCGAAATGAAAGTGATTTTAAAAACAATCTCAGCGAAAGACGATTTAGATTATGATGAATTTTTCAATAGCAAAAAAAATATTGAAAAATATCATAATCTAATATCAGAATTACAAAAGGCTTTGACTCCAAATTTTCGATCATCTGTTGACCAATTAACAGATTGGTTGAAAACTCTTTATAAATCGCGCTGAGCAGCTCAAAGAATAATGAAAAGTGGAAAGGGCCTGGTATAAAAACGTCGAATCTATAATAACAATCGAGTACATGATGATGTAAGCAAATAGAATAAATTGGAATATTTTTGAATTAATAATTTAATATCATTTATTATTACTAAAAAAAATTTGAAGGGTAAAGGTTGCTAAATCATTATATTCAATTAATGATAAGCGAATTACAAAATATAAAAAGCAGCCTTTAATCCAAATGCTAGCCACTCGTCAATACCATTCACCTGAAATCAGCAAAATGGATGATGATAAACAAAAATCCATTATCGCTGTATATGATTATTCGTGGCGATCGGCTGAGATTTTTTTTAATTTACATTTTTTTGATTTTTATTTATTTTAGCTCAAAAATCTTTTAAGAAATGTACTCGATCCAATTGCTGCAACTTCGTCTCAAATTTAAAGAAAATGAAAATATAACGACGAATTGTAGCAATACAACCGGCTGCATCCCCCGAACGTTCCTAAATGGTCTTATAATGACCAATCATCGAATGTCGTTTATGGTACAGAAGAAGATGCAGGAGTCAGTGTAGAAGAAGAGCTAATTACGGAAAACTAAGAAGTAGAAGAAGTTCAAAAGGGGGTTTCTTCTGATACAAGTTACAAACGACAAATACTAATTTTTGAAGGGTTTTCTCTATTAGTTTAGTGAATGCAAATAATACCGCACATTTCGTTCATAATTGTAAAGACGAAGAATGTATTGGAGGAAGTCATGATTCTAGGAACGATTTGTATATGCGAAACTTATATTTTTTTCAAAGCCGTTTAGTATAGTTTATTAATCGAATGTTTTATTTTATAGAACACTTTACATTTATAGGATTTTTAGAACAGTTTAATTTTAGTTTAGTTTTATTGGTTTTGCGCGATTAGGTTAGATTAGATTTAAAATAAAATAAAATAGAACATTTTATGTATCTTAAATGGATTTTATCGAATACTTTACGATTTATTTGCGATTTCGAAAATGAAGCTTTACTGATACATTTAATATAAATTTACTATCTATTTACTTCACTTCATATTTACTATTTGTTTGCTATATATTTACTATATATTTACTATCTATTTACTATAAATTCACTATATATTAATATTCTTCGATACCACTTTCGTACGACCCCGCCTAAATCAGGTTTCGATTTCCTTAATATGTATCAACTTTATTTGTACGATTTACTTAACCTTATCTTGACGTTGTAAAACCATATCGTAACCAGGTCTTAGTTAAAAGGTCTACAATAAATTTTCGACTTGGTCACAATAAAGTTTCGATTTTAAAAAATTCTGTAAAGTAGTTGCATTTCAAAAAAAAAATACATGATATAAAAAACCTTTAGGAGTATTTGGATTAAAAAATTCATCAGCAAGAATTTCTTGAACTTGCTGTGCTATTAATGCATTGATCCTTCTTTTTCACCAAATCCTTTTTCTTGCAAATATTTCATTTTTCTATTTAATACTGTCCATAAATCTGGATAATAATATTTATTATGTAAATTAATTCCATGAATTGGAGAAATTTTTAATAAATGGCGATTAATAACATCAACAGCTTGTTTCACTGTTTTTTCTTTATATTCACCTAAATTTCTCTTTTTAGACATTTGTGCAAACTTGTTGTTCCAGATATTTGGAATCTGTAATATGTTCAAATAATTATATTTCTTGCGAAACTCTTCAAATTGTGCAACTCAATTTCGGGTTGTTTTTTCAGTATTTTTAACTATTGCTTTGTTCCGATAAAAATTAAGTTTTTCTTGAATATCAGAAGTTGATTGATTTGAAATATCAGGAGAAATAGTCTCATTTTGAGGTAAAGTAGAAATTGAAGGTGAAGAGCACTTGCACTAGTAAAAACAGGTTTGAAATATTTTTGTTATTTTTATTAACGCGTTATTGAGGCATTTTTCAATTTTTTTTAGCCACGATTAAAAAATTTGGAGAAAAATTAATTTACTTTAAGTATAAAACAACGTTCAGCATAATTAAAAATCCTCATTGGTACACCATATTTTACTATGAAAGTATAAAAGTTTATTTTATTAAACTTTATCCATTATAAAATTAAGAAAAATTACCTTTTTTATTTATTCTTTTAGGTGATGCATAGCATTTGGTATATAAGTATATATATTTTTCTTATTATATAAGATTTATTATTTCTTTCTTTTTTTTTAATTATTAATTGATAAAATTTGTAGCACTTTATCCTTTATCCTTTGATGATCTCTCAATTGTACAGAACACTTCTGCACGTAGCTCTCATAGCAGACTTTCTTATAATGATTTATCAGTACGTATGCATTCGCAAGATTCTTTTATTAAGTTGTCAAAATTTGAGTATGAAGGTACAACGTAAAAATTAAATTATGATCCTTTGGGTCTATTTTTTTATGCATCAATAAAGAAAAATCTTATGCGCAGAAATGGCCGGTATTTTACAATCACAATTCAGCCCTGTTGACAAGAGGATTAAATGAGTATATTGCGCCTTGACGTTATCTTAATTATGCCTATAGTATCGAAGCATTCAATTATCTCTTTAACAATTCGCAATATGAAACCTTTACCTTCCTAAGTATATGCATTAATACGATACATGAGATAAAGGTTCACAAATATTTAAATAATTTACTTATATTGTATTGCATTTTAGCGTGGTCATGCTCGTCTATAAAATTGCACCTCCTTGAAAAGTTGAGATTATTAAAATTTAGATGTTTCTTTTTTTCTTTTGGTACAAATGCAATAATACTAGGATTTCAAGATTGACTTTTCAAGCAACAGATATTTTATTATTTATTCATTTGAAACAGAATTCCTTAATAAAGATTTTACTTATTTTGGCTTCTCGAAATCTCATCTTTCTATTGTGGCAAACCTTGGTGCAGGGATTTTTTTGGTCAATAGGCACAATTCTTTATTTAATGCTACGAAACGAATATTTTTTTTTTTGTTTATAATTGACATTTTTGATAAGGTGACAATGGCGTTTTCGTCTTGAGGAGTTTTATATTAAATTAACGTTAAAATCAAGTCCGCTAAAGGCGGGATAAATCGTGAATTTATTTGATAATTTAATCTGCAATTCAAGTTACGTTTCTGTTCTGTTTATTTAAAAGAAAAATATGGTCTTTCTAATTGATTAAGTTCTTTAAAATGTAAATTTATAAACAATGAAATAAAATTTTATTTGCTCTTGATTATATTGGACAAAGAGAAAAGAAGCGTTAGAATACTATTCAAGTTAAACTTTCATACATCCGTGATAGCATTTGTTGAGAAATAATCTATAGTATTTTTAAATTACTGTAAAAATAATTTGACGCTGTTAATTTTTCTATATTAAGAAATATTCGTGTTAGTCAGAAGTAATGTTTATTTAACGCTATTTTTAATTCACAAACGTTGTTAATATTTGTTAAACTATCCCGCAATAATAAAAGATTGAAGTTTTGCGCGTAAAAAACTTATAAACAAGTTTTAACTTATATTTTTTTGACCTTGTTTTGTTTACTGCATTCATATGTGCTGATTTAGCTTCAATGGTCATATGAGATAAAAAGCATCTATTTTTTACAAATTCACAAAAATTTCCTCCCTATTTTTCAGCAATAATTCGTTTTTCTATTGGTCAAATACTTTTAAGCATTAAATCGATTTTGCAAATGTGCTTACCGTGCTTACCTTTCTCGTCAATTTGCATTAAGCGGGCAAGGTTCTATTCCATAAATTAATTTTGCATATTCAGAAAGTTTCAAATCCCTAGCATTTTTCTTTGTAACGAAAAATTCTTAATTTTATAATATCACATAATAAATCTTGCCCTAAAAAAGCAAAAAAAATTTTAACTTTACCGCTTGTAACCATTGCTTTTCAGAGAAAGCAGCGTAAAGCAATGACAAAATCGAAAGTTTTGACGGGATGTGAATTCCTTTATCAAGCACATTGCATTCGATAAATCCGGTATTCTATGCTGCTACACATCTAAAAATTTTTTTTTTAATTTACTTCGTTGAATTGATATACATGTTTGTACAACATTTAATACGAAAATTCCATTTCTTAATTTGTAATGCATTGGGAGAAGAGAAATTACCACCATATGTTATTTTAACAAAAGATGAGATAATTCCAATCTAACAACTATTTCATCATTAGTACATTTGTAGAGACATTGTGAAAACGTCTATTATTGATGATTCTAAATAGCAGTGCCCCAAGCCGACAGCTGAGTCGGTTCTGCAAAAACTAAGTGGTGGCTCCGGAATTTCAAATGACTAAGTCGCTATTCTAAATCTGTATAATGTTAGACAGAACAACGCGAAATTCTTAATTAAATAAAAGGTCAAATTTTTAGCCGAATGGGGTCCTTTTGAAACATTAATTAATTTTAATATTAAAAGGTTTATAATAAAATGATTGTTGTTAATTTCAAATGAGAGTTGCAATTATGAGTCGATTGAAAAGGGTCTAACGATTAACTGAGCCGAATCCAAAATTTACCCAATGTTATCTGATCTTGGATTGTAATAAAGAGAGTGAAGATTTTGAGAATCCTCTCTATTAGTACATGTATCGTCACTCATGATTTTTGCATTAGTCAAGATTTAATGTACGAAAATAAAAGAATTAAATTATTTTTGGTTAAAGTTGAACCTTTTTTATTTTAAAAAAAAAGGTTGTTAGATTCTTTGAACGTGTATGTTTTCCAAATTTTTCAACAATAAAAAAAACTTTATAATTATTTTTTGTCTTACCAAGAAAATCATTTATTCAAATATGTTTTCGGTGTGGCTATATATTTGGAAATTTTATCCGAGAATTTAACTATAATCTATATTTTTTTCGGGGTTATCTGAAAAACGTGAATTAATAATTTTATTAGTTGAAATGATATTATATATAAGTTTGTATTATTCCGAAATTATTGGTAAAGTGGTTTGTTATTGGTTTTCAACTGAACAGATGTTTCGCGCCATCACTTCATACGGAAAATTGTATCACTTTTTCAGTAAGACCTTTTCGTATTTAATTATCAATAAAAAAAATAAATTACGTAATGTAAAGATTATTATTTTTTGTATTACATTTTCTAATTTATCCATTTGTTTAAAAAAAATATCTATACATATGAACATCCTTTTCTCTCAAAGGAAATATAAATATCTTGAGCTTTTAAAGCATAGAATTTTATACCATTTCCTTCTTTTTGCAAGTTACATGAATTTAGATCGGGTTATCAGAATTCAAAATTTGTAAAAAAAAAAAAAAAAAAAAAAATCTAAAACCATAATAACATCTCTTTAAACAAAATACCTACTCCAATAAATTTTATTGTAAAAATGCCTCCGAATTTACGAAAGATTTCACTTAATAATCATGATTTTTCTTTCAAAAATTTAAAATTTAAAAAATTTTTACGTTTCATCAAAAATAAAAACGATGCTTTTAGTAAAAATAATACAAACATCAGAAAGTTTGATAGTGAAAATGAAAGAATTATTAATAAAGGTTTCAAAGCACTCTTTGACCCTAATATAGAAACCGAAGAATCAAAGAAAATGTGATAACCAAACAAGTTTGGGGAGGAAATTTTTCATCACCGATTGAAAATAGATTAATTAAGGGCGTTAGGGTACTTGATGTTTGGTAAGTTAAAAAAAAATATATATTTATTTATTTATCTTTATATATTTAATTACGTACAATTCTCTTCATCTATAAAATTAATCATCCATTCATATTTCAGTTGCGGGCCTGGTCATTGGTTATTAGACATGGCAAAGACTTATCCAAAGAGCACATTCATTGGAATAGATATTTCAGCGACATTCACTGAGAGAGAAAAGATGACTAATTTAGCGTTTTTAGAGTGTAATATACATAACGGTTTGACTTGGCCAAATGATACATTTGATTTTGTTTATCAAAGATACGCTTGGGCAAGTTATAATGAAGTCCAATGGAAATATATCATTTCAGAGATCACAAGAGTATGTAAACCAGGAGGGATGGTAGAATTGATGGAATTTGATTGGGAATTTAAAAATACTAGTTCAATTGCTATGAACTATCAAAAGCTATGTATGTATATCTCCATATCGTTTATCTTATTCTTTTACGATGTTTTAATTTTATTAATATTCTTTTTTTTTTTAAAAAAAAACGATATATTAGTGTCATCATACTTTTTTTCAAATGGATTGAATCCCGCGATTTCTTCCAAGATTCCATTATTATTAAAACAAACGGGTGAATTGACAGACATTCAATCAGAATCGAGAGATTTATCACTCGGTGGCTGGGATGGGTTAAATGGATTGATGGTAAATAAAATAATAATTATAATAATTCCTTTTGCATCTTTCTTCAAAAAAAGTTTTATCTAATTTATTATTTTTTTTTTTTGAAAGCATTTAAAATATCATTATTCATCAGTAAATCCATTTGCCAATCATCTATCACAGGTTGCAAATTTAAACGAAGAAGAATATAAGTTAAAAATCATTAAATATTTAAAAGAGTCTGAAAATTATAAAACT